CTAGATCAGGAGTGGAAACATAGAAATGAAGATCTCAAGGAGGGTTAGCAACAGGGGAGTGGGAGGAGGAGATGGGGGGAGAAGGTACAGAAAATAAGTAGCATAGACAGTAGATAGAAAATAGATGGGGGGGGCAAGAATAGCATGGGAAATATAGAATCTAAAGGACTTGAGACACATGGTCATAAACTAAAGGGGGGGTAATGGTGGGGATGGGGGGGTAGGGTGGAGGGGAAGGAAGGGGGGGAATAGAACAACTGTAACAGCATAATCAATAAAAAATTAAAAAAAAAGATTTAAAGGTCTGTCAAAATCAGAACTCTGCTCTTACTGGATTAGGTATATGGTATGAGGGAAATATACTCCATTTGCTGCTGTTCAGGTTTCACCCGTTCATTCAGTTTAGCACATTCCTCAGTGACTTCTTTCTCTGTGGCTGCCTCCTCCCAGATCGTGCCTGCTTTCTCACAGTTTAGTCAGATACTGTTATTTAACCCTTACAGTAACCCTGAAAGGTAGTTATTACCTTGCTTTTGTAGACAAGGAAACATGACCAGAGAGGAAGAAACTTGTGTGAGGATACCATTATATGAAGAATTATTTATCATTCAACACAATATTTCTGTAACTTTGGGTATATGACAGAAGATACCTCACTTTTAAGATATAGTAAAGCCATAATTTCACCATAATCCATTTAATTTGGAATTCACTAGTGGTAGCACATTTTGTCCAACGGTTTATTTTTTTTTAACAAGGGCTAACCACTAAGAAATGAGCTTATGTTAAAGATTTATTTTTTAAAGAAGCTCTTTGAGTTTTGTTGTTGATTTTAAAGTACATTTAACTAATTTGTGTTTTGTTACTCTACATTTTCACTAGTTAAGTGAAAACTAATTGCCAGAATTATACAAGGTCATGCAGAAGTAAGGACTGTTGAGTGTGGTTGGTAGGGTAATAATATGGGTGTAATAATTCATAGTTTTCATTTGAACTGTCAGACGCTGTGTTTGAGTGCAATATTGTTATGTTACAGAATTACATGCTTATGATTTTGTAAAGTAAGGGGCATTATTTGTGCTGGGCCCTGTATTTTAGACCCAAACAATTTAGAACCAAATTAAGATAATATATTATATGTCTGTATACTCATACATGTAATTTACTTGTAGTGGTTGAGGTTTTCACAAAAAAGACACCCTTCATTTTTATTATTGTTACTTTCTTTTCATTGGAAAACTCCAAATTGTGACTAATTATTGTTCAAAGATTTTAGAATAATTTGCTAAATTTTTAATATATTCACAAATAATAGAAGATTTAATTATAAATGAATAAGGTAACATCTGTGGGGGCAATAAATTATGATAAATTAAATTTTTACTTTCAAATTAATTTTATTGGGATAACATTGGTTAATAACATGTAAATCTCAGGTATACAAGTGTATAATATGACATCTGTATACTTTGTTTTGTGTTCACCACCTGAAGTCTAGTCTCCTTCTGTCATCATATATTTTATACCTTTGATGCCCTTTGTCCTCCCCCAAACATCCTTCCCTTCTAGTAACCACCATTCTGTTGTCTGTATCTGTGGGTTTGTTTTTGTTTACTTAAACTTCATTTTATGTGTAAAGAAATCATGTGTCAGAATTAAGAGAGGGAATAGTAAAATGTAAAGAAAAATGATGAAAATTTATATTTATAAATTAATAAGCCCATATTGGCATTCCTAGCAATAAAATTGTAACTTCTCAAAGTCATATATTAAAAAGGAAGGTTGTGATCTCATGATGTAGTAATGCTCTTCATTTACTGAGTGAACCAGTTGGGGATGAAGGAGGACCAACATTACTACTACTGAAACCCATGCAGTTCTCTTCAAGACCAACGTACATCCTGAGTACACAAGCCTAGTTCATGTGGTCTTCCTGTTGCCCGCATTCTTAATTTTTGTAATTTATGCTTGCTCTTTTCTTCTTTGCTTGATCAATCTAGCTCTTAGAGAACCAGATTTTGGCTTTGTTAAGTTTCTTTATTGCTCTTTATTCCATTGATTATTCTTACCTTCATTCTACCTGCCTTGTGTTTACTTTGTTCTTCTTTTTCTAGCTTCTTAATGTGGAAGCATAGGTAATTGATTTTTTGGACCTTTCTTGTTTTCTAAGGTAAACATTTAAAGCTCTGAATTTCACTGCTAAATATGGCTGCATCTGACAAATTCTTTCATTCTGTATTTTCATTGTTTTTTAGTTTAAAAAATTTTTCATGTTTCTAGTGATTTCTCACTGGTCCAGGAATTATTTAGAAGTATACTATTTAATTTTTATATAGTTGGTATTTTTTCCAGATGTTTTATTGTTACTGAATTCTAATTTAATTCTGTTCTGGGCAGATAAACATATTTTGTGTGAATATTACTTATGAATTGATCCTTTGATTATCACGAAGTATCCATTATATTTCTGGTGATACTTGTAGTTTGGCTAATGTTAATACATTCATTCCAGCCTCCCTCTGTTTACTGTTTGTATGATATATCTATTTTTAGACATTAACTTTTAACCTATCTGTGGCTGTATATTTAAAGTATATATCTCATAGACAGCATGTAGTTGTGTATGGCGTTTTAATTCATTTGAACAAGCTCTGTTTTTTAATTAAAGTATTTAGTTCATTAATAATGTATTTATTGATATGTTTAAATTTAATTCTACCATTTTATTGTTATATGTGTGAGCCTCTGTTTGGGGGATATTTTTTGTACATCCTTTCCAGCCTCCTTTTGGATTAATGAATATTTTTAATAATTCTCTTTTGCTCATTAAAAAAATTGTATCTATATTTATTTGCATTTTTTTCAAGTGACTACTGTAAGGGTTTCATATATGCTCTTATCATTTCAGTGTATTTAGAGTTACTGCTTCATCATTTGGATGAAATGTGGAAACTTTATAACTGTATAGGTCCATTTACCTAACCCATACTTTATTCTATAGAAGTTGTATATATTCATTATAACCCTTCAGTAAGACATTATACATTTTACTTTAAGCATTAATACATATATACTTTAAATAATTTAAGAGAAGTAGTTTTTAATATTTACCATTCCTAAAGGCCTTCATTCCATCCTAAAGATCCAAGTTTTTATGTTATCATTTTCTTTACCTTGAAGAACTTTAGTATCTGTTGTAATTGCAGACATACTATTGATTATTGTATTTTACTTTTTCTTTATCTCAAAAATGTCTTAATTTTACTTCAGTTTTTGAGGTATATTTTTGCTGGTTATAAAATTTGGGGTTGATTTTTTTTTTCTTTCACCATGTTAAGAATTTTGTTCCACTTTCTTTTAATCTCTATTGTTTCTGATAAGAAGCCAGCAGTAATTCATCATTGCTGTTCAAAATGTAATGTTGGTTTTTTTCCTCCTGAGTAGTTTCAGTATTTCTCTTTACTTTTTATTTCATTACTTCGACTATGGTGTTACTACTAGTCATGGTCTTCATATTTGCCTTGGAGTTCACTGAACTTCCAGAATATCTACCTTTGTCTTTCACTAAATTCGGGGAAGTTTGGACCACTACTTACAAATTTGCTTCTGTCTCATTATTTTTTACTACTTCTGGGTTTAAATAAACATTTTTGACACACTTAAATATTGTCAAACAAATCCCAGAGGGTATGTTTTTCTTTAATTATTAGCAATCATTTTTTCTCTGTTCTTCATATTGGATAATTTCGATTGATTTTTAAGTATACAGATTCTTTTCTGTGTTGTTACCAGTATACTTTAAATCTTATTTAGCATAATTTTATTTTATTTCATTTATTTATTTTTAGAGAGAGGGGAAGAGAGGGAAACATTAATTTGTGGTTGCCTTTCATGTACTCCCCTCCCCCATTTGGGACCCAGCCTGCAACCCAGGTGTGTGCCCCGACTGGGAATTGAACTGGTGACCCCTCAGATTGCAGGCTGGCACTCAATCTACTGAGCCACACCAGACAGGACATTATTTAGCATAATTTTAATTTCAAATATTGTGTGTTTTTAGTTACAGAATTTCTGTTTTTCATTTTCTAGTTTTTCTGCTGAGATTTATTAGCTTTATATTCATTATAAGCATAATTACAGTTACTACTTTAAAATCTTTGCTTGCTAATTCCAGCATCTGGTTCCTCTCAGTGTTGGTCTCCAGTAACTGTGTATTTTCTTGAGACTGGGTCACATTTTTAATGTTTTCTTATATATCTAGTAGTCACATTTTGAATATGGTCAAACCTCGGTTCTCAAACGTCTCTTATCTCAAACAGTTCAGTTTTGGACCAAGTTTTTCACGAGAAAAATGTTCAGTTGGTAAACAGAATATCGGTTCTCGACCTGACAACCCTTTCATACTGATACTTATATGATCAGTCAACTGTATAATTCAGTTTTTGAACAAATTGTTTCTCAAATACCCTTCCAGAACAAATTAAGTTCAAGAACTGAGGTTTCACTCTACTCTGGATTCCATTATATTTCTCTGAAGAACATTGATTTTTTTTGTTTACTTTTGTTTACTTTGTGTTAGCAGAAAATTAACTTAGTTAAATTAAAATTGTAAAAATCCTGTCATTGGGGTGCAGTTGAAATTTTAGTTCAATTTTTTTTATCCTCACCTGTTTGGAATCTGCCATTTATGTGCACTATGTAGGATTCAGCCAGAGATTTGAAGACTTTACATAAAGAATTTTAGCTTCCTCCTCTGACTCCTTTCCGAGATTCCCACATTGTTTTTCTTTTGTGGTGGTTGTCCTGAGTCTTGTGGTTTTTCAGACTGGACTTTTTTGTTTGTTTGTATGTTTTAAATTTTTTTATTGGAGTTATAGCTGTTCTGCATGACACAGGCTTGGTTTGTCCTCAGAAAAGAAGTGCTAAAATTTTATTTCATCATTTCAGTATTTCATGCCAAATACACACTAAACATATTTCATAAAATCTGCTTACTGTAGGTCCAGGTCAAGACCTCGTCCACGCTCCCATAGTCGAAGCAGTGAAAGGTCCAGTCACAGAAGAACCCGTAGTCGATCTCGGGACAGAGAACGGTGTAAAGGCAGAGAGAAGGAGAAAAGAGGGAAGGAGAAGGATAAAGGCAAGGACAAGGAGTTATACAGCCTCAAACGTGGGTAAGTTGGTATTTCCGTGAACATTCAGCAAATCCTAAGCGTTGATGACTCAGTGATTTCATGTTCAGACTAAATTTTTATTCTTGGAAGAGTTACTTAGATGGAAAAAAGAGGAACATACAAAGAAGATAGAGGAAAGAGTAAATCAAAATAGTTATCTCAAGTTTTTACTGTTTTCTATTCCTATTTTTATTTAATGCTTATGTAATAAATCTTGGAAACACAAAATAAATGGCTCTGTTGAAGCTTAGTATCTCAGTAGAGAGAAACACAATTCTGTAGGAAAGTTTTACATTTGATTGCCGTTATCATGAATATGAATTTAAAATTTGAAGACTAATGATTAAACATATCTATTATGGTATTGTAAAGATGTCTAAGGAAAAGATTAAAGGTGAAACAAAGGGAATGAACCATGTGATTTACTATTGGTTAGGTCTCTTTCAGTGTAAAATGGGAACCTGGACAGTATTAAGGGGTATCTGTGTATTAGAGTGAAGGTATGTGCATATAAGACCTGGAATTTATTTTTTGTGGAATTGATATTATTGAAACAGTTAGTCTAGCTCTGTCCATTTGCAGGGTGAAGTTCACTCATAACTATTTATTAGAGGCTGTTAAATAAGGTGTGGTTAGTAGCTTAAATTATACCTCCTTACTTGTTTCATTCATAACTGACATTGGGGTATTTTATTCTATGAAGTAAAACATTTTGGAATTTATCCTCTTTTGTCAGTCCTTCAACACCTTACATATGTTCACTTTAATACTTCCATTAAACGTTTTCATTTTTAATTTACCAATCAGATTTCAGTGTTAAATTCAAGAGCTTACCGTGGTCTTGCATATGGTTTCTTGAGATCTTGAGTCTATGAATAATTAAGTTTAGTAAAGGGTATGGATCTCTTCTCTAATCCTTATCTTTTCCCAGTTCTCTGTATGTTTATTTTGTATTTCCAGATTTACTGTGGTATTACACAAACCTGCCTAGATCATTGACTTTTAAGTGTTTGTTGAAATAATAAATTTATGGTTGATTATGGAAGAGGATTAACATTGCTATCTAATTTTTTTCTCTTGATCACCCTACAACCATTAATACTAGTAGAGCTGTTGTAATACTTCAAAATTCTGAATTCTGCCCATTTGTAATTTTAAGGATTCTTGAATGTTATGGGGGAGGGGATAGGTTTGGATATCTGGCTATAAGGATGGGGAAACTAAGTCAAACAGAGTTGGTAGAATAGTATGAGGATCAGAGAGAGTGTAGGGGAAATCTATTGATAAAGGGAGAAAGTTGGGAAGATGATAGATTTGAAGAAGGGGTGTTGAGTAGGTTTGTGAAACTGGAAAATATGAAGTAAAAGGATGCACAAATTATGTCAATCAAGGACTTGTCTTGCTTCTTGTTCCTTTTTTTTCTTTTGATTTACACTTTTGATATCAGATGACTACGAGATGTGTAACTTACGGTTTTTAGTGGTCATTAAATTTTTGCTTTCCATCTCACCAACTTTTTTTTTTTGCACAGTTTAAAATTAGTATTATATGAAGCGTTGTTTTACAAATTTTAAAGGTAAGAAAAGTTAGAGCATGAAGGAAAAATGGAGGTCAGGTGGTTTCTGGCAAGGTTCTCGTATGGCGATGGTGACAGTAGTCTTGAGGTTCGGGGTCAGCTTTACAGGTTAGACTGCCTTTTCACTCAGAGTTGATTGTGTTCTAGGGACTGATTCCAGAGTAACAGGTTCACAAGATGATAATGATGTATTTGTCATTATTTCCTGCATCTCAGCAAGGGGAGTGAACAAGGTCAAAATAAGAGCTGTCAGTTGAAGGGTACTGGGTACCGATGCCAAAAGCTGTGAGCAGCCTGATTTGGTCATCTCCATGATTTTAGTAGACCACAGTACAGGGTCGTGGTATGTCAGGGTGCCCTCTCTCCTAGTTAGTGTAGAGGACACACAAGTTTGTACCTTTCGGTATGATGTGGAATCAGGATTCACTTTTTGAGGGCATTAGCATAGACATTTAATATAGTAGTGTTTATATATGTACAGATGCACCCTGCTTTGCTCCAAAAATAATTTATCTTTTTTTAAAGCTTATGTGTTTATTTCTTAAACCTGATTTGTAAGCCATTTAGGATAGAGAATGTGTCTTAATTCTTTTTTTTTAAGATTTTACTTATTTTTAGAGAGAGGGGAAGGGAAGGAGAAATAGACAAAGAGAAACATTGATGTTCGAGAGATACATCCATTGGTTGCCTCTTGCATGCCCCCAACTGGGGAGTTGGCCTGCAACCCAGGCATGTGCCTTGACTGGGAATTGAATTGGCGACATTTCGGTTCACAGACCAGCACTCAATCCATTGAGCCACACCAGCTAGGGCTTATATCTTGTATCACTCCAAATACCTAATGTACATGTTAGTTATTAATAAATATTTATTGGTGATAGATTAGAAATGCTCATTCGTTCTTTTGTTCACTTGTTCAACAATATTTAAATGCCTTCTATTGTCAACTACTGTTTGGTAATATGGACATAATGGTAGGTCAGTCGTACTTGGGGATTTCATCAAGGTGGAATAAATAAACATATATAGAATGGAAGATATGTAAGTATCTACAGTGACATCATGGAAGTTAGGCTGCTTTAGCCATTAAGTGACAAAACCTAAGTCACAGTAGCTTAAATCAAGGACAAGCAACATTTTTTGTAAAGGGCAAGATGGTAAGTAATGTAGGCTTCCTGGACCACATGTCTCTGTTGCAACTATTGAACTCTGCTCTTTTATCAGAAAAGTAGCCATAGATAATACTAAATGAACCGCATGGCTCTGTTTCAGTAAAACCTACTTATAAAAATAGACAATTGTCTAGATTTGGCCCAAGGGTTGTAGCTTGTCAACATCTGGTTTATACACAAGTATTCAGTACATTTATTGCTAATACAACAAATCAGGATCTGGCAGAAGCAAAGCCTGGTTGAGTGTGGTTTGTAAGGTAAATAATATGGATGTATAACTTATAGTTTTAATTTGAACATTTCACCTAAAATGTCATGTGGTGTACTTGAGTGTGATACCATTATCACACTCACAGAATTACAGAATTACATGCTTATGATTTTGTAATGAAAGATTTTATAATAAAAAGGGTGTTATTCTTGCCAGACCCTGCAATTTGGAGATAAGCAGACCCAGGCCCTTTTTACCCTTCCAACAGGGCAGTTTCAGCATGTTGGCTTTCCAGTCCTGACGCATTCTGGTTGAAAGATATTTTTGTGCACGTTAGGTTGGTTGCCTAGACTAGTCAACATGTCAGGGAGGGGTTCTCAAAAAAGAGGGGATGTTTATACACTGAAGGAAGGAAGAGAGAGGAAAGAATATTGCATGCAAAATAAACTTCATATGGAAAGACTTGGAGGCAAGCAAGGTCTTGCCTCCATATTTGAAGAACTGAAGCTTAATGGAGCTTGGTTTAGAATAGAAGAGAAATAATGAAGAGAGATGATATTGTAATACCTTATAAGTTGTGACAAGGAGTTTAGAGATAATTCTAAAGGCAGGCAGAAGCCAATGAAGTTACAAATAGAGTAATGATATGATCATTCCTTTATGAGGTATGAACAAAATGATTTACTCACAGTGGACATAGTAATAATAAGCATCTAACATTTAAATACATTTTTTAAGTATCTTAGCAAAGAATTTTGCCAAGCAATTGACATGCATTATCTCATTTAATTTTCATAACAACCTCATGAAATAGGTGCTTTTATTACCCTATGTCTAGATGAATGTTTGTGGTTATAGAGCTAGTAAATGGCAGTCTTCTAATTCAAATTCCCTGACTACAGACCCTTTACTCCATAGTAGTACACTATCCTCACTTTTGTAGTAATACATAATTACTGATGATGAGAACTAGTATTTGAGATTCAGTGATATGCTATTGCTTAAACTTTCCTTGAAAATAATTAGGGAACTGAAGGAATTTTCTGTGCCTTATTTTTCTCTTTTCAGGCCAGAAATTTGTCATTAATAAGTTTCCGTCTTTTCTCTTCTTTTTTTCCCCTTACATTCCCATGTCAGCTTTCATCTGTTTATTAGAATTATATTTAATTTTATTTAATAAACCTACAAAATTTTTTAGGCCTTTGTTAAATTTATTTCTATGATGGTTTATTAGCTGTTTTATTGGTTTAGATGATTTAGATGGTTTATTTATTGAGCATCTCTTTCCAAATGGTATAAAAAAAAAGAACACATGTAGGTAGAGAAAAATAAAAAGATTTACACACAATTTGATTAGGACATTTTTATGAATGTACAATCTAGTAATAAGTATTTATCTTGTGCTGTATAACGTAGATTCTTCCTCCTGTAGGAGAAAATAACAACTCACATGCCTCCGCTTCTTGTACATGACAACCTTCGTTTTTACCAAACCAGTTTGAAGACGGCAATACAACTATCGATAGAACAGAAAGCGTGCGTTTGTAAAGTAGAACTCAAGGAGAGTAAGTACAGTAATGATGAAGGAATACTTTATAAGTTGGGAGAAATAAAACTGGGAGAGAAAGGAATGCTCAAGCAGGGGTGCCTACATAATGAGGAAGAGCTTTTTATTAGACTTTTGAGAAAAAAAATGGAATTGGTAATTCTGAAAAGCCTTTTATAAATAGCTAATTAAGTGTAGTTCTGGAGATTAGTGGAACTTTTGAACGATTATAATTAGAATTTGTCTTATAATGTAATAAATTGATCTATTCATTGTATTGATCTGCCGAATAAGGGAGAGCTAACATAAAGGGTATCAGGAGTTTGTAGGGTATCAGGAGTTTGTAGGCACTAAAAGGTGTCTTGCCTTAGAACAGTATGTGAATGGTTAATGTAAGAAAGACACTGATTCTTATCTTAGATTCTATCAAGAAGCTTTAATGACTTTAATTTTTAATGATTTACATTTATAAATTTGGATTTCTAAGAAAATTTT